GCATCACACTCTTTTGCATTCAAAGACGGCTGCTACGCCGGCCCATGAAAGTCGCGCGTCCCCGGCCGTGAAGGTCGAGGGGGCGGACACCAAAGTAAAACCAGCTGTTGTCAGTTCTCATTCTGCCAGAGCCTCTCCGCTCTCGGAGACGGTGCTCTTGGCTACGGCTCAGGTCGGAGCTTTAAGCTCGAGCAAGGAAATAGTTAGGGTCCGAGCGTTGCTAGACCAAGGTTCGGAAGCCTCTTTCGTGTCCGAGTCAGCTGCCCAGCTGCTCAAGTTGCCGAGACGACCGGTGGAAGTCTCGTTGCGAGGAATAAGTGGGAGTAAAGCTGGTGCTGCTCATTCGGTTACGCGATTAGTATTGAGCTCGCTAGTTGATCCGCGATCCTCAATCGAGATTGATGCTCTCGTTCTGCCGCGTCTCACGGCACCACTTCCCGCATGCTCGCTGAAGGAGCACGCTTTGCCGAAACTTCAAGGACTGCCCTTGGCAGATCCGCAGTTTACCATCTCGAACCCGGTGGATCTCATCCTGGGGGCGGATGTGTACGGACGAATTCTGAAATCAGGTGTGAAGCGCTGGCCTGCTTCGCGTCTTGTAGCACAGAACACCGCATTCGGTTGGGTGGTTTCTGGCGCTATTACAGCCGACCCGTCACGGCGGGCGGTGACGGCGTCGCTTCTGCATTGTTCTTCCGATCCGGAATTACTGAAGGCGATGGAAGCTTTCTGGAAATTAGAGGAAATCCCGTTGTCTCTAGATCGGTGGAATGACGAGGAGCAGAGGTGTGACGAATTGTTTAGCCAAACGCATTCGAGAAACGCGGATGGTCGATACGTAGTACGACTTCCATTTAACTCCGGCCTTCCGGAGGCCGCTAGGGAGACGCGTGGAATGGCGTTAGGTTCCCTCAGGTCAATGCATCGTCGCTTTGCGCGGGACGCGAAATTAGCTCAATCGTACCGAGAATTCATGGAGACCTATGAGTCGCTCGGCCATATGGAACGAGTGCCTTCGGAGGAGATTGCCAACGCTTCGGCTTGGTACCTGCCTCATCACGCCGTTGTGC